AGTGATCTGTTTGCCACATAAACTGTGAGCAGCCGAAACTTCTTTTTCCCACCAACATGCAGTAACCACCAGTTCAAACATCGCTTTTAATCAATATGCTGTATGTTTTTATTTCACGAAAAATCACCACCACCAAGGAGTAGCTCTACCGGACCAGCTGTTTTTACTGCATACAAGATATATTGAGATATATGGGTAGAAATATCTGAAAACACAACAGCAAATAACTAACACATGTATTCCGTCATCTTGTAAAGGAAGGAAATGAAACATCCACTGCAATACACATGTACCACAGGTCAATGTGGACCACAGGACTCTGAACTTGACATTCAAATTATATTGTCCTATCATGGAGCCATGGCATCACATGAAAAACACAGCTGACATAAAGTAATACACAGACCAAGCTAGCTGTTTTTATACCCTAACACAGCTATCAAATAATCCCCAATCATCTGAACCTCAATTAACCAGGTTTCTAATTACCCACATTGTTATTCATACTTCCACAAGGAATTCAGTCTTAGTTAGATAATTATTTATCCAAACAAATGTAATGCAACCTGCCCAGGAGATCGGACAGTTCAGATCTGAAGTTTGAGGAATTTTTTTTCTTGTAACCTTTTCACCACCAGACTTTCTTACCTAAATTTGTCTGCATTCCTTAAGTTATATTCTTTAATATTTCTGGAAATGAACCCAAATTTTGGAAACAAGACAAAATTTGAGTCATTTTCTAATTTTTACCTAATAAACTTAAAGATTATTTTTTCTCATTGTAACTTGCTTATTTTGTATTCAGAGCATGAACAGGTTTGTTTTCAATCATTGTAATCCCTTCAACATCCCTTCAGTGTCTGAAATTTAAATCTTCCTGGGTTATTGACCAGTTATTCACGAGCAGTCGCATAATAGTCCCTGTTAGATATTGTTGTCAACTTTAGATGTGAACCACAGTTATGAAGACTTATGAAGGGAAAGCCAGCAGCATAATGCATACATGTCAGGTAAATATCAAGCTCAGTGAGCAGATTATTCGTAAAAGTGGAATGCTCAATAACCTTGTGTAACCCATAAAGCCAAGTAAAACAACTTCTTATACATGTGAAATACAGGACAGGACTTGTGCATAATGCAATACAAATCCATATAAGCACATAGGTTTCTATTCATGTTACTTGGAGATTATATTAATCTCATAGGCGGTCATTTCACATGGCATTGCATAATCACAACACACGACCAGTATTTGTCACTGGAATGTCTGTCCACCGTTCATGTCAAGCAATTGATCAGCGAGACTAATTAGAATCTATTTTTTTTTTTATTTTCTTCACATGATCAAATTATAATTTGATATAAAATTTACTTTTTATCTTGCAACATGAACAAATTTGCCAAACACACCGACCACGAAATGTTTGTGGTTCCACCCCAAGTGATGTTCAATGATAAGCAATGTATACCCACAGACAATGCAAACAAGTGCTGCATGCATGTACAACAAAAGCAGAATCACCAATCACAAGTTGGTCTAGGGTTGCATGATTATACATGTAAAACCTTTCATTTTGTTTTTGAATTTCGCCTATTTCTGATAGATTGGAAATTAGATGAAATAGGTCAGTTAGAAGGTGATGGTACTATTTCAAGTCTGAAAAGATCAGTTGTCGCGTCTAATTTAACGAAATTTAATTCATAGCTGATCAACTAAAACCAATCACACAAGACACGAAAATCAACAAAGCAGCCTTTATTTTCAGAAAGTCAGGCCCGTCATCTGAATTTCACAGCAGTGGCAGTGTCTGGTCTACCTCCCAAGTCTCATCACTTCATCCCATTGGGTTAATTCTCCCATCAATTGAGATTCAAATAGAGTAACAAAAAAACTCATCTGGGAATATATTTCCATCAATATTCTATACGTTATGAAGTTGACCCAAATCAGTTCACAAATATTGACAAGTATTATTCGCCGATTTAAAATATCCAATTTTCAAGAACTAGACGTGATCAGGATATATTTGCAATCCATACACGCATTGAGCATTTGCTATTGCCAGATACAGACAGCAACGATATTCGCTGCATCAGTTGAGCAACGAAAATGCTTGAACACAAGGTACATTTTAACAACAACACCAGCAGCTGCTGACTTCCAAGTGAACACGCTGCTTCCTGCATTAGTGTTAGGGCATGAGATTATATTATCTTGTGCCTGATAGTTCTAACGATAAAACTGTAGACAGTCAGCCATGTAGAAAAGCTTTGGAAGTAGAAAAACGTTAAGAGTACATGGTAGAGAAAAAAAATAAGCCAGGGAGGTGATGCGTTAAACATAAAAGTCACACAAGTACAAGACAGTCTGTGGAGAAGAACGTAGGGTTCAGAGTTCAAATATCAAATCAGAGACCTCTGCTTTCTCTGTCATTGTAGTAAATTTCAGAATAACTATCTCAAGATAAATTAACATTATGATGTACCGTATTTGCTCCATTAGAAGCACCACATCGACAATAGAAGTGCATATAAACCACAAATCTAGTTGTAAACTGAAACATAAAATATTACCTATTTAGACCTCATAAACACATCCGTAATTTACGTAAGCACATTTGCTACTAATTGAGCAAATATAAGAAATATTCGTTATTTATTGCTTTTTGTTTTTAACTATTACTACTGACACTCAAAAAAAAAATGCACACAGCATCCAGCAGTGTCATAGGAAAACCCAGCAAGCCAACATTTGTCATTTCAGAGGACACAAACACAACAAAAGTCTGAGTGAATGCAGTAATTTGCATAATTTTGCATAATACTATGGGAGTACAGGACCCAACCAGTACGCTTGGCAACCAATAATCATAATTTCAATTGAACCATAATGTTGCTAACTGAACTCCAAGAGAGCATTTATATAAACTCCTGACAACTGCAAAACCATCCGAAAAAAGCACAATAAAAAACTTGCATGTTTTGAGATGCATATTCTTATCTGAGAGCAATATGGTCATGTTAATTTACGACTATATTATAGAATCTGGAGACAAAACACAAAGCAAGAAAAGTCAATAAAAAACACCCATAAATATTGATTACATTATAGCCAACAATTTAACTATTTTACGCAGCCAATCACGATTTGTGTAAGTGAGGTACTAAAACCATTTGCACTAAGATAAAATTACTTAAGACACACAGTAAGGTAGAACCACTAACCCTTTTTTCCAAATGTTGTTTTAGACATCTGCCTAGTTTCCAGACACAATGATTGAGAGGATCCCCAATTTTTTAATGAGACAGCGTCCTATTTGTATTTGTTAAATGCACACAACGAGTGTCAATTCCTCTGTTTTCTCAATGAGCCTTTAAAAATGCAATCCATTTCACTTGGCTGCTTAAAGGGCCAGTCATTGTGCAAGTGCCAATTCTGTGCAATGAATCAATGGTAGACAGGTTGTGTATGTCAAATGGAACCCATACCAAATAGGATACCGTGCAATGATTGCAGAGAATGACTTTTAGAATGTTATCATTCAAATCAAATCTAGCACTAACAGTTTACATAAGCATGCAACCACATGGGAGTGCAGCAGTTCCAAGACACACAAGAAAGCAGGTCAGTGGTAACTATGTTTTTTTGAAATGTACCATATTCTCACCACAGTTGTTTCTATCATGTTTGGGAAAAAAGTATTTATAAAACTCTTATCAATTGCAAGATATCTGATAAACATGGTTTACCCAATGCACTTTTATAACACGGCAACTGATGCCGACTATTAGCGTTCCAAGCTTTACTTTGAAACTGATGGAACATATTGTTACATAAAGCACGACTTGGAACACAAATTAGTCAGCAATGGCCACTGCATGATAAAAACAAAATACAGAGCCTACACTGCCAGCAAAATTTATCATCCATTTCCAAGAAATGTTGACAATTAGGTTTTAACAAAAATTGTCTAAACCCCCTGTTATCAGTAATACTCAATCAACCATAGAACCATGGAAAGATAGGAGCAAACATGTTCCAGATCGTAGCTTTGCTGTATGGTTAAAGCAATGTAGAAACAAAAACATCAGCAGTTTTCAAATTTTGTATAAAATATGGATGCCATATTGTTTATGAACACAAAGTAAACCTCCATATAAAGCCTTGGCATTTTTATCCTATATTGCCATATAAAGCAAGGTTAAGATGACTTGGTAACATCAATTTTGAAGTTTATCTACCCTAGATGAGGGCAATAAGATAAAAATAGCATTGTAATCTCACCATTTGACAATATGTATTCTTCTCTCAACCAGACTGAACAAGTGTAACAAACAAAAACTAGGCTAATTAAATTATAAGCCTATTGTTTTTTCTCACTGAATACATTAGCCATTCACAGTTAAAATATCAACAGGGAATGTTTCAGTCACATCTCCGAGTCCTCAAAAATGTGTTGAAAAAACAGTGTTTTGAATTACACTAGTGGAACAAATGGTGAAAAAAAGGACAAACCTGCGACACCGTCGTTACATAAGTCATTGTAGTTGGAGAGGGGGAATTTACGGTCCACGTGTCCCTTTCAAGTTGCCACGCCAGAGTACCATTAAAATGACTAAAAATTATATAAATTCGAATCGCTGTGTCATGTACTGTCCAAAAGATACGCGCATATGTTCGATTATCTCACATACGCTGGGGTCATGACAGACTTGAAGGTAAGCTCCAATGATCTCGATCAAGAGCTATTGGGATTTCCCGACCAACAAACTTTCAACTCTGCGCATTTTACGCCCAGTTTTACTGCCAATCGTACTTACTTAACACACTCAATCTTGCAATAATGGATATGTTAAGTGAACGATGCTGTAGGAAAGATCTGCGATCAGAGCTCCTCATCGAATGCGTTCTATATGACCACGGTATTTTCCGTGGGGCCACTATCATGGCCGACACCAGAGCTGGCAGAGGTCATGGCCGACATTTGCAATATACTTACGTGAAATTTTCATACCACCATAGGACGATGACGACGATTTATTGCCCTCGGCGAATGACGTGGTCCTTGGTCGTCCACTCATAATGTATTACGCGACGTTTTAGAATTTTTCAGGTCGTTTTCGTGCGATCTAACGCTTACATCGTAGGCAAGATCAGGGTGTCTTTTACAGATTCCACCTCGTTAGAAGGCAAACAGAGAGTTCAACTGAATGAGTTCCAGTGCAAAATTCGCCTCAAATAGTACCACAGACAGCTAAAATAGTCAACCCACGTATTCTTTAAAACACGGAGATCCTAATACATATGTAAAACAGTGATCGGGGTTAAACTCCGACTATTTTGACCAGGAAATCACAGTATTGTTGGCTGTTTGGTCCGAGTTTCTCGTTGCCAATTGCTGTCAACTAACTGCACAATACTTATCTGACGATTATGTTCGGCAAAACTCGTCAACTCTTCGGTTTTTCTGCCGACCAATCAGATAGCGCGTTTCTGCAACCGATTCGTATCGAAGGATGTCGATCGTTGCTCGGGCGAAAAACATCTTTCCGCGAAGCACGAGCTACCCGCAAAGTGGTGACGTCAGGACATAGCGGGGTCACGAGAAGGTACGCAAATAGATGACGTATTTCACATGGCGGCTACCCAGAGGTACTGATATGGTGTTCCTCGTTATATGCCGGGGTTATATGATCAATAACCCGACCTCATTAGTCTGATATTTGGTTCAGTTTCGTGGAGACTTTTTGACACGCTTTCGAGGAATACTGTTTTCGGTGTAAAAGAACGAGTGTTGATAAATTCAGTGAAAAGGCTCTTGACAAAAAAACCTGTCGCATGAGGTCTCTCTTTTTTTTACCTCTTCCAATGTACAGTGTACCGGAACTTGAAGACAAATAGTCTTCACGATATTTTCACCCCATACCATAATATATCTTGACAGTATTAGTTGAAAGTGTGATGACATAGCTCAATATTAGTCTAAATATAAATGGGGAATTTAAATTAGAAATTGTAAAAAAAATAATTGAGATGGTTGAATACAGTCTTTTTTATATGTTGTGAATAGACTTTATTTCTATCAAAATGATATTACTGTACATGTATGCGATTTTCAGAGTTAATTCATTTAAAGGGTGGCAGTCGTCGTGCCCCGTCCTGTTCGATATGGGACTCGTAGTGACTTATACAACACGTGTAAAATACATTATTTATTTACATGGAATTAGAACGCGCTCTGCGCGACAACCACTGCCCTTTAAGTTGATGGGGGAAAAAGTGAAACACAACCTGTTCAATTAGAAAAATTTTGAACTACATTTTGAAAAAATCAAGAATGGGGCTATTTGTGAAAATATTACAGTTTAAGGAAATTATCCTATGCTAACATATGGGCGATAGAACATGTTCTCACAAGAAAGCGTGTGTATGTCCACTTCAAATTATCATGTTAGGAAACTAATAATAATATGATAATAATTGTTTATTGCATCTTTAGAAATGTACATTTCTTTCAGTATTGAGCAAGTCTAATAATAAGGCAAACTTGTGCCTGGATGTTATTTCCATCTAATTGAATAACTTGACTACAAATCCTGATATTTTTGTCAAGAGATGCCTTTTTCCACATGGCATTTAGCACTAAATTGAAGACAGTTGATTGCTTTATGCTTTGGTTAACATTTTTAATATTCATAAAAAACAATATAAAAAAGTCACCACAGAAAAAATAAATTAAGTAACATGTTTATTGCATTGCTGATGATGCACTTTTTAATACAATTTTTTTTCAGTCCTGCTTGAATTTGTTATGGAGCCAAGACGATCCAAGAGGCAACGTGTTGCTACGAAGAGGTACGACCAGATACAATTAGAAGAACCCATGGTTTCAAAATCATTCTGGAGTGTGGTTGAAAAGCGACAATTATTAAATGCATTAAACAGGTACAGTAGATAGCGAGATGATAATAATTTTTCGCTGTGGTTAAAGGGGGATCGATATTGGACAACAAATCTAAAAGATGAGGCCCAAAAGAAAGCTTTTGCTTCTCGCTCTCAGGGAAATAAAAAGAAGTGATGCCATTTTAATTTAATAAGGACTCTCAAGCCAAATTAAAGATTCTAAGTCATGTTCGTCATACTTTCATTAAAATGAGTTCGTACTATCAAAAAATCAAATATGCCGAACAAAAAAAACAAGGTTCACCAGAAGATTTTTATGGAAAATTGTATAGTAACATCAGTCAAAAAGTTTATAAAAAGAGGTAAATTCAAGAAAACAGCACAGATGCTCAACTATGAGACAATTCTGAGAAACCAAATTTATATATGCTACACATGTAGGGGTAATGTTGTGTTATGTTTATGAGTCACAACAACTAGCCCAAAATAGTTGTTTGACTGTTTTCACATATTGTTATTGCCAGGCATTGAAAATGTCTGGATATTCACTACAGAGAATATAAAATGGGAGATTATCTCCCATAATGCATATGCAGTAAGACGTTCAGTTGTGCAAAATTCAAATTCGGCTTGAACTGCCTCAATACCACAACAAGATACAAGTTGTAAAACAATTTTTTTTAATATATGCATTAAAGGCTTCTCTAATACAGAAAAAAAATTTCCCACTGTTCTTTTTTTTTTTTGGGGGGGGGGGGGCTAACATTTACCATAAGATTGTCCCAGCCATGGTAGTTTTGTTTTATATGATATGATATATATGATATGACTGGTCTGTTCTGTGACACACTACTTTGTCACCACATTTTCAAGTGTTTTAATATACTAATGTGTATTATCACTAGTATGCTGCCAACCAATGAGAAAAGATTTTTGATCTGACTGAAAAATTGTTCTACACAGATATAAGATATGCAAAATTTGTTGTCTTTTGGAATTGTCTTTACTTTTCTTCAGAAGATTGCGACAAAAATTGTTGGAGTAAAACTGAAAACTAACTCAAAATCTTTTCATTGGCTCCAAAATTAGAGTTCATTTCCATATTGAAATACAGAAAAATTTTAGTGAGAAAATTTGGCAGTGAAAAGGTTAAATCGGGTTCATGGAATATAAGAATCCGATATTTGTATGTGACACTACTAGACAGGTGTACTTTATTTATATACAGGGTCTTTAATTTATTCATGAGTATCAATTGAGACTTTAGTCCTTTAGGTCTATACTTACGTTTCCACACATCTAAAAAACGCCGGTGTTAATACTGCTTTTTTGTTGTGCAAATATTAATAATCTGCTGAATTGTTTGCTCCAGTTCACAATGCGCCCGTTCCACAGCGCATACAGAGTGTGATATAGAGGGTAACACATGACAACCATGTGATATATAGGGTAACACATGACAACCATGTGATATAGAGGGTAACACATGACAACCATGTGATATAGAGGGTAACACATGACACCCATGTGATA